TTTTTTTTTTTGAGAAGTTGTCGCTTTATATTTCAAAACAAGAGTGGTCGAGGCCAGGGACCTCACAATTCTACCCGGTGTTGCAAAAAAGCCTGCTGGAAACCGGGTCCAGCGTCCCAAGACCACTCAGCCTCAAAAGGAAGAAGAAGAACTCAAAATAGCCATGAAGCACAGAAAAGGGTGGCTGAACTAATCATAGCAGCTACACTCCACTCCTTCAGCCAATCACAAGAAAGCGCCGGCATGTTTCTAGGATCGAAACACTATTGGCAAAGAACAGCGAGCTATAATCTGCAAATCTCGAAAAGGCACAAGGCAATTCACGAAGATTACACAGTTTAATGCTAAAATTATTTCCAAAAGCAAACTAAATTCTCCAATACAATTCGAATCCAAATTTCAAACCAAGTACTTACTAAATTTTAAACTGGATATACTAATTTCTCAAGAGAAAATAAACGATTAAAGACAACCAATCCAAATTCCAAGATATATCAAACTAGAAGGAAGAGGAGACTCAAAGACTAAGAGCTGGGAGGGAGGAGTAGACATTAGGGTCACTCTTAACCTCGCTATCCAAAACGCTGTAAAGAGCCTTTGTTGCCTAGACGGGTTTCCCACCACGCACCCAATGGGTACAACTCTAGTTTGCTCTTCACCGGGTCTCTCATATCATCCCTACCCTATGAGTATCCCCCTAAACTACTGCAAATATACCCCAGCACTTAAGAATAACGAAAAACTGTGAATCTCAATCATATATGAAAACTCGATACAAAAGCGATCTATAGATGGTAACAGAGCCCAGCTAAAGTATAGCTATGACTGACACTTATTTTACCCTTCGTACCCGGGAAACGTACCCACCGCCACAAGTGAGTCTCCCACTCCCGTTGATGGCGCCGCCACCCATCGGGCTTCAGGGCTTTATAACAATCCAGATACTGAAAACCTACAAAATATCAAACTAAAAGAGCGATCTCAATGACTAAGAGCTGGGAGGGAGGACTGGACCTTAGGGTTACTCTCTCAACCTCACTATCCAAAACGTTGTAGAGAGCCTTTGTTGCCTAGACGGGTTTCCCACCACGCACCCAATGGATACAACTCTAGTTTGCTCTTCACCGGGTCTCTCATATCATCCAACCCTGTGAGTATAACCCTAAATCAGTGCAAACATACCCCAGCGCTCAATAATATCGAGCAACTGTGAATCTCCATCTTACATGAAAACTCAATACTCTTACAAGCGATAGATGAGAACACAGCCCGACTAGAATGAAGGGTAAAAGCATCCAACAAAAAACTACATGGTACATATCTACTGCAAAGACTATACTCGAAAAGGTATGGCAAAAAGGTGGGAAAGATGAATAAGCCTTAGGGTGACCCACACATCAACGCTGACCAAAACACTGTAAAGAGCCTTTGTTGCCTAGACGGGTTTCCCACCAGGCACCCAATGGATACAACTCTAGTTTGCTCTTCATCGGGTCTCTCGTATCATCCCAACCCCATGAGCTTCACCCTAAAACCATCGCAAACCAAATTAAATGAAAACTCAGAACATGAAGTAAGTGAGCGTCATACTGCCTTGCGACGAAGGTAGGCCAAACGAGACTTGCTGCGGCCGCAAAACCAAATTAAGTGAAAACTCAAAACATGAAGTAAATGAACATCATACAGCCTTGCGACGAAGGTAAGTCAAACGAGACCCGCTGCAGCCCTTGAATATGCCGGAGCGCTGCCACCGCAGCCGCACGCTTTCCCACTGTGTCCAGGTACGCCGCTCCGCCTTCCGTGCTTTCCTATTGATCGAGGCAGTCAGGATGACGTGTCGTGAAGTACAACGCGTGGAGCCCCCCTTTTTCAGGAGAAGGCTTGAGGGGAAGGCGGCTCCTCTGATATCAAGGTCTTGTGAGGTGTGTAGGTTGGTATGGAGGTCCGATAAGGAGCTGCCAGGGTGCCATGGCGTAAGAGTGCAAGGCACTCCCTACCCACTCAAGGGCTAGGCTACGCCAGGGCACTGTCGCCATAGCTCTCACATAACTATGGTGCCTGGCAGGGTAGGCGCCTCGTCGAAAGAGTCAACGTCCACATGCTCAGACGCTGCGTCATACACAGCCGCAACCGACGACCGGGCGCCGCCACCGCCGCTGTCGCCGTCTCACCGTTAACGCACGTTTCGCGCGGCACAAACGACTTCCCTTCTTCTGTAACTTTAAATATTTTAGAATTACCTAATTCTCTTTTTGAATTTTGTTTTTCTTGAATTAATTCCTTTTCATTCGGAAATACTTCTTTGAAATTCTCTTCTTATTCTTTTTTAAAATTTTTCTTGATTAATTATTTTTCGGAAATTTCTCCTAATTCAGAAATACTTTTCTTTGTTTTCTTGTAAATATGTTATTCCGAAATTAATTTTGAATAAACTCAATTAATTCGCGCCGAAATAATCCCTTTAGTCGAAATTAATTATCATTTTTTTTCAACATTTTCCTGTTCTAAAATCGGAATTTTATTTCGGAATTAAATAATCCCCTCCAATATCTTTCAGGATTTATTTCTTTGAAAATGTCTGATTTTCTACAAACTCCTCCCTCGGAATCTTTTCGAATTTCCTTCTAAAGTGTACTCTCGAATTAATTTCGAATAAATTTAATTAATTCGAGTCGGTAATAATTTATTTATTTGAAATTAATTCCCGTTCTTTTTTTTAAAAAAATCTTGGAATTTTTTTTTTTTTTTTTGACTAAATCAATTAACAAATTCCCCCACCCCCAATCTCCGCATGTCGCACGACACCAACAACTCGAAACGTGCCGCCGCTGAAGCCGCCGCTTTCTTTGCTGCTATCACCGCTACCTCTGCTGCTACCACGCCTACCTCATCCACTACCGCATCCATCACGGCCACTTCGTCGGCCCCCCTTCTCCCACCATGGCCCAATCTTCGAGCATCGACATGTCCGCCATCCGCACCAACTCAGTCGACAACATCGCCCGTGACCTCACCGGCGACCAACCAGCCACGACCACCGCCGCCCCCGATCTTACAACCATCCTCCAAGCACTCGCCTCCCTCCAATCGTCCATCGCCAACATGAACACCACCATGTCGACCATCTCTGGCCGCGTAGCCGCAATTGAGGGAAACTCCCCTGCCATCACGGTCGTCACCACGACCGCACCCTCCTCCTCCGCACCACAAACCACCTCGTCCTCCACCCCACAACCCACCTCCTCCTCCGAACAGGCCTCAGCTTTAACCTTCACACGGCCACCTTCTACATCTACCCCTCCAACCAGCACATCCCTCACACACTCGTCATCATCCACCACTTTCCCCACCGTTGTCACTCCCACTCCCCTCCTACCCAAGCCCTCAACCTCCGCCATCACACAATCATCCAACATTCCTCTCCAAACCAAACCAACCCTCATTTCATCTACCATCATCTCTGCCCATCCCACCTACACCCCGGTCACCTCCTTCCCCCCAATGCTCCACCCCGCTCCACCTATCTTGCCCCCAAACGTACTCATCCCCACCAACCCTACGATCGATTTCACGCGAGTCACGTCCTCCCCCTCTACCCTCGACCTCAACAGCCTCGCCTCCTCGCCCCCCAAAGAAGGAAAGATCCCACGCTCCTCGCTCCAACGAGCTCCCAACCTTTTCTGGCTCACCCCATGAGGACGTCTTCCTCTTCCTCACCCAACTCCATCAGGCCTTTTCTTTCCACAGCGTCCCCTTTATCCACTGGCTCCACATCGTCGGAACCAGACTCCTAAACACTGCCGCTTGATGGTGGTACACCAAAATGGCAAACCGCACCCACGCCGTCCCCCCACCCTATTCCTTCCTTGAATGGGCTTCCTTGCTCACCTCTACCTTTTGGCCACAGAAAACTGTCAATGACTACATCGACCAATTCTTCCGGATGCGCCAAAACGGGCCGATCGACCGTTTCGTACAATACGTCCGTGTCCTATGCCAACACATTCCCATTGACTTCATAAGCGACGTCGTCTTCATCTCTCGTGCCAAACGAGTATGCTGCAAGGATCTTGCAGCAGCCCTTCTCCACGAACCTCAATGCCCCTCCATGACCTCCTTAACCGCTGCCTTCAAATCGACCGACTCCTCATCCCCTACAAAAAAACTGTCACCGCCACCCCACAGTGCCCACACCACCCCTGATTCTTTCACAACATAACAGACAAGACCTCCCTCTCCACCACCTTGGATGAATTCACCACCTCCAACCCCAACACGGACTCCCTATCCGACACCATGGATACCTCGAAACTTTCCCCGGACGAACTCTCTGCCATTCACCTCATGTGAATGGAAAAGAGAGAACACTCCAGCCACCCTCCTTCGAACACCCTCCCAGGCCGCCTTAGGAAACTAACACCCGAGGAAAGACCCCACCTTTAGGCAAAAGGTGGATGTTTCCGGTGCCGACAATTAGGCCACCAGCAAACCAACTGCCCAAATGCTCAACAATTCACAAGCCAGTCCGTAGCTCCCCCGACCGTGACCTCCGCATCAAACCCCTTGGCAAGAGTGGGTCCCTCCTCGCCTTGAACACTGTCCACAGGTCCCCCCCCGGCATCGATGACTAGTCTGCCGGCCATCCCATTGGTGACGATCTCCATCCCACCGGTGGCCCATTTGGCGTCGACAATATGTTTGCCTCCCCCCTCTCCAGTGCCACACATCCCACCGGACGACCCCCAAGCATTGCAACCCTCGTCGCCTGACGCCCCTCTCACTGCACAATGTTCCTCAACCCTCCTTCTGAATCCATCCTCTGTCACCTTCTCTGATGTTGTTGAGGAACAAGCCCGACGCGATCGGCTTGTCTGATTAGGCAATGAACAACGCCGCCTCAACATCATTATCTCCACCGCCAACTCGTCACGTTTCCACCTCAAATCCATCGTCACCACCCTTGGTGCGTCGACGACTAAGTTCCGAACCCTCCTCGACATTGGAGCCACCGGTAACTTCATCACTGACGCGTGTGTCTGGAAAGTCGGCCTTACCTCTACCGGTTATGATTCCCCAATTACGATTCGTTTAGGGGACAAAGACACTGCCGTCGTAGTAGACCGGACGGTTCCCGAGACCACCATGACTGTCGGAACCCTCCGTAGTCAGGTCTCATTTGATGTCATCCACCGAATGTGCGATATTGTTTGGGAACACTGTGACTAGACCACTACATGCCATACGCATTCCACCCCAACTTCCTCCGCCTTACCAACCCCCCTGACACAACCATCGACATCCCCTATCTCCCCTATCCCACCTCCCCAAGCTCCGTCACCCCGCACCAACTCCTCCCGTCTCTTCACCATCGCTACACCCAAGGCTATCTCTCTTACCCAGACTTCGCACTTATCTATAACAAGTTTCGTCACCTCAACCTTGTCCCCAGCTACGCCCTCCATGACAATCTTCGTTACATCGATACTAAAGGCACTCGCCGACTTTGCATCCCTGGCGCACGTAGTCTCCGTACCCAGCTCTTGGCCAAACACCACGACGCCAAGACTGCCGGACATCTTGGGTTCCAAAAAGAATTCAACACCATCTCCCGCTACTTTCACTGGCCTTCCCTACTCGCCGACGTTAAAGCATACATCCGCTCATGCCCCACGTGTCAAGCCGTCAACCCCTGAAACCGCGCCAAGCACGACAAGCTACAATCATTCCTAATCCCCACCCACCGGTGGCAGTCCATCTCCATGGACTGCGTCTGCGGTCTCCCCAAGACCGACTGCGGACATGATTTCATCTATGTCATAGTTTGCCGCTTGACTATAAACACGCCCACTTCATCCCTTGCACCACATCGCACAAAGCCAAGGACGTCGGCATTCTCCTCTTCAACCATGTCACACGCCATCACGGTCTCCCCGAGAACATCATCAGTGACGGTGACCCTCGCTTCCTTTCACAATTCTGGAAACACCTCTTTAAAGCCTACGAAACCACGCTCAAGTATATCACTGCATTCCACCCATAAACCGATGGACAAACCGAGAAGATGAGCGATACTCTCCAAAGAATCCATGCGGAAGTATTGTCATCCACATCAACAGGACTGGGATCAGTTGCTGACCGCCACCGGGATCGCCTACAACAATGTTGTTTGTCCTTCCACTAACATGTCTCTATTCTACCTTGACCTTGGCTATCATCCGCGCTTACCCTCCGATTTTCTGCTCCCCTCGCAACTCAACCCCTCCACGCTCTGCCCTTCCCTCAATGAATGGGTAGCAACAATGAATCGACTCCTCAGAGAAGCAACCGAAGCCCTTGAAAGAACACAAGAACAACAAGCAAACAGGACTAACAAACACAGACGTGACTTGCAATTCAAAGTAGGGGACAAAGTCTGGCTCTCTGCCAAATGCTTTAAACCCGAACACGGATTGTCAAAGAAACTCTCAAACAAATGGCTCGGTCTCTTCCCCATCATTGAACAAACCTCCCCATCAATTACAAGCTCCAACTCCCTCCTTACATGGATCGTGTTCACCCTATCTTCAACGTAGAATACCTAAAAGAGTATCATGAATCCCCACCCCAATTCGTTGACCACCCTTACCCCAGACCTCCACCAATCATGCTTCCCATAGGCCCAAAATTCGTAGTAGAATCCATTTCATAGGACGACGAACCACACAAGTATCAGACCATCCGGAACCAATCAAAGAATACAAATTCAAATGGACCGGATATCCCGACGAAGAATCTACATGGGAACCTCTCTCTAATCTCAAGAATGCTATGAAACTTGTTCGCGCCTATGATCGTGCTCACCCTATATCCTAGATACATAATATAACTCAAACCATAAACCCTTGTATAAACCCTGCCTTGACCCCGCCAAAACCCCGCATTGCTGCTCTACACACCCATGTACCTTGCCTCTTGAAATCCCCCCTGTCTGACCCGCTCTTGCCTCCGCCTTGCCCCGTTCTCCATCTGTCCTCCGTCACATCCTTGTCTCTCTTGTCCAAGTTCTCTATCTGGCCCCTGCGCATCGGCGGCGATCATGGATCTAATGGCAGGCGCACGAGGACGAGGGCATTCTGCAGCTCAGTTCGAGGAGATAAAGCAGCTGGTTGGCCACCATGTGATTCCCATTGGCCGACACATTGGACTCGTAGACTTTTGAAGCAACAACCTCGACATCGACATCAAGGTCAGTTTGCGACCTGCTATCCGGATCAGACCTCAGCATCAGATTAAGACTACCCGACGCCTCGTGCTACTGGGACATTCAAGCTGAAGCCCTGTTGACGACGTCACCAAATGACTGAAGACTGTTCTCTCATCGATACTTATGTGACCCTTCTCAAGATCTGTTCTCAAGACTTTCGCATAACCACTACTCAGAAATTTTGCAACTTTACCCCTGAAAACCCTTAGTTCATCAGTAGGATTACCCTGTTCCCCGTCGTCCCCAAACCCTTAGGTCATCAATAGAATTACCATGTTCCCTTAGCTCATCAATAAAACAACCCTGTTTCCAGCTCATAGCGACAAGCCCTGCTCCCTATTTACTGCATTATACTCCTCTTCCCTTGTGACTTGCTGCCAGTGATCGGCCCTGTCCCGTCCTTACAATTTTCAGCATTGTTTCATGGTTTTTGGCAGCCGGTAAGTTGCCTTCTAGAGAGAGGGGATAGTGTTAAATACTCAGCCAGGCTCGATCCGTGGTCCGCGGGATAACATCCGCCAGTCTGCTATTTTATTTTTTTTCGGGTCCCTGCTCTTCGGTTTCTGATTGTTGGCGCCCTCTGCAGTTGGCCCCTGTTTTCAAACTCCTCCTTTGGCATTTTCGGATTTCGACACTTGGCGCCATCCGGCATTCTGCCCCCCAAACTCAGACCTGCGATTCTCAGTTCAGTCCTGAGGCAGGCCGCACCTCGGCCCTCCGAACTGAGACCGAGTCCGGTACTTGAGACCGGACTCAAGCCCCGTTGGGGATTCAGTCTTCGGCCTCAGTGCTTGTGCTTCAGTGTGACTTGCCGCGACTTTGTACTTGGGAATCCAAGATTGCGACTTTGCGACTTTGAGACTTTGCCACTTCGTGTCTGCTTCTGTCGAGTCGAGTCGAGTCCGTGTTCGAGTCGAGTGAGTGTGTGTGTGTGTGCTCGCACTCTCTCCCTCTCTCTCTCTCTGCCCCTCTGCTCTGCCTTGGCCTCGTCACAGGAAGCCTAGATCTGCTCTAGACCTCCTCCTGCCTGAAAACTGACCTGCTGCAACTTCTAGAACCATTGAATTTGGTATCCAGTACGAGAAGTTGCTGCGGCAAGCTGTCGAACACATCAAGAAATCTCAAGAAGCAATAATTGCTTTTGAGAACAAGCGTTGCCGACAGTCCATATTTCAGGTAGGGGAACATGTTTGGGTTAAGTCTAGTAAGTCAGGGCAGGAATTCGGCATCTCTGGAAAACTAATGCCTCAATACTTCGGTCCTTGGGAAGTCTTGGATATTGTGGGTAGTGAAG